AGTAGTAGTAGTAGTAGTAGTAGTAGTAGTAGTAGTAGTATGAGTAGTAGTAGTAGTAGTAGTAGCAGTAGTCGTAGTAGTAGTCGTAGTAGTGGTAGTAGTGGTAGTCATAGACGTAGTAATAGTCTTGGTCGTAGTCGTAGTAGTAATAGTAGTAATCGTAATAGTAAAAGAAGAAGCAGTCGTAGTAGCCGTCGTAGTAGTAGTCGTAGTAGCAGTAGGAGTAGTGATAGTAGTAGTAGTAGTTGTAGTAGTAGTAGTAGTAGTAGTAGTGGTAGTAGTAGTAGTAGTAGTGGTAGTAGTAGTGGTAGTAGTAATAGTAGTTCTCTGGTGCTGAAGTAGGAGTGGTAGTACTGTAGCACTGAAGTAGCACCCACGCGCTGCAGTACTGTAGCAGTGCTGAAGCTGTAGCAGTACTGCAGTCGTACTTTAGTGGTAGCTCATTGGCAGCGTCGTTGTATCATTGTGATAATGTGCTGGTGGTGGCACTATTCTACGAGTGCGTAAACAATAATGCAACAGTGCTGGCAGTAGTAGGCCTACGGACGTACTGTAGTCCTCGTGTTCGGTTGCTGCAGAACCTGGTATAGCAACCATAATATATTACTGTAGTTCTGTGGGGGTCGCACCGTAGACGTAGTACTCAGGTACTGTCGTGGTGCTGCAGTAGCACTCTAGTAGTAGTGTCCTAGTGTTGATGTAGTATGGGTACTCTGGTGCTCGCTGTATAAGCAGCGCTGTGATGCCGTAGTGCCCTCCTCCTCCGCCTCCTCCTGCTCCTCCTGTTCCTCCTCCTTCTGCTCCTCCGCCTCTTTGGGGGGAACAATAAGGAACAACAAACACACTGAATCTTTTTTTTGTTCCCACCCCCCTCCCTCCCGCCGAGCACCACAACCACCATCAGTCAGGTCTGGACTGGGAAGGTATCACACTGAAGGGAAGACAACAACCGTGCGACGGGAACAAAGGCGAGAGATAAAGAGAGAGAGAGACATATAGAGAAATAGAGAGAGAGAGAGAGATAGAGAGAGAGAAAGGACAGAGGGAGGGAAGGACGGAGGGAGGGACGAAGGAGGGAGGGGATCATGAGTAGAAAGAGGGTGGAGGATGAGAGGGTGAGTTTCGCAGGGGGGGATTTGACCCTTAACCCGGGGAGTCAGCTCCAAGATTACCTTGGGACCCCCCAACAAGCCACAAGGAGCGGAGGTGACGGAGGAGGGCAGGTGAGAAGGAGGCAGGGGGAGGAGCAGAGGAATGGTGCAGGAGGGGCGAGGGGCAGGCGGGAGGAGGATGAGGAGGAGGAATTCGCTGGCATCCGGCGCTAACCGCGAAGCGGTCACGAACTCAGCTTGGGTGGAGAGCCTCCCCGCCTGAAGTATGCCCCCCCTCCTCGGGCAACCGCGGCCCTCGAGGGGCTCTTGCGGCCAGGGAAGAAGCCCTTCCGAATCCGCTGAACGACCCCATGACCCTTCTCTTCAAGGGAAAGGGGTTACTCCTCAGCCTAAGTTGCGCGGGTCCTTCGTGGCAGGCTTATCCCAGCCCGAACCAGGATGCAGCCCAAACTTCGGCCATGAGTGCAAGACAGAAGAAGGGTCATAGGACTTTCCCCCACCGTTGACCCACTTGCCCAAACCACACCCTCCACATCCGCGATACTCGAATGTTCCCTCGGAGCCTGGATGGAGGAGGCGGATGAGGAGACGGAGGTGGCGGGGGAGGAGGAGCAGAAAGAGGAGGCAGAAGTGCACGCAGCAAAGGGGCAACGTGCGATTTCTCGAAGACAAGGAACACCGAAACGGTGAACGAACTAGAACGACATCACCTCAGCCCCTGGTCCCAGAGGGCACCTCGGAGGAAGGCCTGAACAAGAACAGCTGCCTCCCGTGCTGCGCGTACAGCTGCACTCACATTCGCAGACCTACAAGAGTCTTTGAAGGAGAATGCAGAGGGAAGAAAGGCGGCAACACACGGAACACGCTGGAAAATAAAAGCATCGAAATCCAAGACGGGAAACTCGCGGAGTCATCTACCGCAAGTGCGTTGCCCCTCGGTAACAAAGGAGGGGCAGGAGAGCTTCGGCAGACACTTCAAGCACTTTGCAACCATGGCCCAAGTTCGGGCCAGCTAACCGCGCCCGTTTCCTGACATCGCCAATCTGCAATTTCCCCAACACATGGAGGCCGCGGGACATGCCAACGGTGGCGGCAGAAGGCCTTGCGAGAGGGGCCGCTCTCACAAGTGAAGGATGCACTCAGTGGGCGGCCGAGGAGGTGGCGATAATGCTGCTGATGCTGATGCTGCTGCTGCTGCTGCTGATGATGATGATGATGATGATGATGATGTTGATGATGATGATGATGATGATGATGATGATGATGATGATGATGATGATGGTGGTGATGATGAGGATGCTGGTGCCGATGCTGCTGCCGATGCTGATGCTGATGATGCTGATGGTGATGATGCTAATGATGCCAATGATGCTAATACTGATGATGTTGATGACGATGCTGATGAAGATGAAGATGCTGACGGTGCTTATGATGAGATGAAGCGTTCAGGGGGGCGGCAATGCGGATGGAGGCCAGCGGAAGGACGGCGCTGCGAGGAAGCGGCCGACGAGCCTCTGCCAGAGGGGGCAGCCGCCCACGGGTCGCACGCGCCGTCGGTCATGACGGGTGGGTGCAGGGCGCGCGGCCCCCCTCACGGTCAAGAAACGTCCAGCGCTTCACACACGAAACGAACACCAAAGCCGACCAATGGCCAGGCTGCGAGCTGCTCCGCAAGATTGCTGTCATGCTTCACCTCCTCGAGCTCCGCCCAATCGCGACATTGCGCAAACGAGCGCAGGGCTGGATCAATTAATGACTAGAAATCGACCTGATCCTCGACCTCGTCAGGTTCCACCCCAGCAGCACATCCGAGATCCCCGACTGGATCCGCTGCAGCAAGTGGCCCAGGATGTTCTGAGGACGCAAGTCGTTCGTGGCGCTTGAGAGCGGCTCAGTAGCGGCTCCCCGTCGGTATAACCACTGTTATTCGAACTAGGTGAAGACCTAGTAGTGGATGTAGAGGGTGCAGACTCGCGTGCGTCACGGCTCCAAAGAAAGAGCGCAATCTGATGCGACAAGGACCCCACAACACAATCACTGGACATAGGCAGAAGCTCCAAGTGCCAGAAATCTGCATGAGGTGCGTCGTGCGCTTGTCGGTGAACTGCTGCGCCGCGCGCCGCCAGGGCCATCAGCGAAAACGTCCCAAGAACAGAAGCAAGACCGCTGGACTGTGTCTGCGACAGCCTCCGGCATCTCAAGGGTGAGCGGCTCCAGTACCAGGATCGCACGGGTCATCAGCGAAGAAGTCCCTGGCCAACTCGACGCGGAAGCCTTCCACGTCTGAGTGGCTCTCCCCCTCCTCCGGTCCTCCGCCCGGCCGCCCTGGTCCTTTTCCCTTCCCTGCACGCCGGGCAATTCGCCAGTCGGTTGCCCCGAATCTTTACTATCCGCTGGAGCAGCTCCTCTGCCCCGCCGCCGATGAAAAAAGTGCCCTGGTTCCAAGTGGAGGCCGATGAGGACCAAGAGATTTCCTAGCCGCCCGACGGCGACGCGGAGGCTGGGGCGAGTGCTCCCGCTGCTCCCGCTGCTCCCGGCGCACAGAGTGGCCATAGCCCCGAAGCGTGGCCTCCCGGCGGCCTCCAGCGGGCGGGTTTCGCGGGCTCAGGAAATCCGCTGGGTGGCGACCCGAACCCTACCCCCCCAACCATCGATACTCCTGCATCGACGGGAGGCGGATGTAGGATCCGGATGTCGCCACGTTCTCGCCGAGTTCCGAACCCCACCCCCGCCGCCCATCGAGCTGCCTGAGCCGTCGATCGGCGAAGGTTCTGGCTCGGATTTCGCCGCCGATCCGCTCCCCCCCCCCAAAAGGGTCCGGCAGGAGAGAGTCAGGGAGGTGGCGGTGACGACCTCTGAGCTGCACACGGCGTTGGGGAAGCACACGGAGCGGATGGGGCCAGCAGGAGAGCGTGCGCAGGGGGGGGGGAGGGGCGGGGCGGAGGAAGCTGGAGGCACCTGTGTCGTTGTAGGACAGTCTGACGGATGGACTTCGATAGGGGTCCCACCACCTGCCAGGCAACCACCTTCCTTAGGCGTGCCTGGGCCTACAACAGGCTTGTACGACGACCCGTCGCGAGCACCAATCGAAAGCGGCGTGACATCCGAGAGCAGATGCGAGGGAGAGCGCACGGAAAGCCGACAACCCTGCTTCCCAGGGGGTTGTTCCCTCGTCGATGCTGGGAACCGTGGCCCCGAAGCCGAGCCCCCTTGGCACTCGCGGAGGACAGAGGTGGAAAGACGCCCAGCGAGAGCAGCCGGCTCCAGCGCATCACCCAGGGATCTTCGACGAGGCGGTTGGCGTCCGAGGTCAAGACAGCAGTGAACAGACCAGCGCGTGCTGGAGGGGGGCAGGCCGTTGTCGCCGGTGGCGATCGCTGGGGTGGACGGGCAGCGCCAGAGACAACCTCGATCTGCAGGTCGGCCAGAGCACACGCAGCACGGGCGAAGGCTTCCGAGCTCGACGTGTTTGGTCGGGCGTGCCGTCCAGCACGCCGAAGGGCCCCGTGTGCAGAGTTGACAGGTCCAGCCCTTGGCACATCACAAGAACTGTGAACACATGCAGAGGGACAAAGGCGCAGCACCAGAAACACGCGATCTTTTGGTTGTGCCCCCCCCCAACAACAAAAACGTCAAATCCGCTGCCACTCAGGAGGGCTACCGGCACCAGAAAACAAAGAACCGTTTCCTGTCGGCCTTGAGCCAGGACGGTTTGAGCGCAAACGGCTACGGAAGGAGGTTGCAGGATGATGAGGAGGAGGATGCAGAATGAAGGAGGCACGGAGAGGAGGGTGGAAGGGGGATGGGGGGGAAACGACATCGGGCGTACTCGTACCAATCAGGGGGCTCTCACCGACGCGCCGGCGCACATCTGCAACGTCCGAGGACATTGTGGCCGAGCACGTTCATCGTCCGCGCGGCCGAGTTGTTCGACCTGGCACGAGGTGGACAACACGAAACACGAGGGGAGATGTTCCACCCCCAGAAAAGCTCGATTCGTGAAATAAACACGACGACAAATAGTCGGCCAATTTCGGCCTCAGGCGACCCTCGCAAGGCCAGGACCGTCACAAAACAACTCGGGATGACAAACCGGTCCTGGGGAAATGTTCCAGACTTCTGGGGGGGCCGTATGAGAAAAACAAGACTTCGGATGTCGTGGCCTCCAGACACCTCGCCCAAGAACTTCGTGGAACTACTAGCATACAGCCTGGACCCAGCCTAAATCCTCCTGGCGTCTCCTGGAGTCCTCCTCTTTCTCTCCCCCTCATTCTTCCAATGAGCTGCTCGCCCTGGAGACTGTGATTAAACAGGTTGGACCAACGGTTGGATGTGGCGTAGGTGCCGACCTCCCTGGGATCCCCACAATCGTTGGGGCACTTCAAGCAACTGCTTCAAAACAATATGGACAACATCCTCTTCATCCATCCCCTCGCCCTCCTGATCACCCACACCTTAGCACACGTAAACACATGATCAAAACTCAGCAACCTGCGTGCGTCCTGAACACAATCGGGAAAGCATGTGAGAAGACCCATCGTTTCTCGTCATCCTCTTTCGGGGCAAGACGCGGTAATTAAGAGGCAACGCGACAACATGCACCCAGGCAGCCGCACGTTTTGGAAATTCGGGGAACACGTCTGGTAAACCATCCTTAGATGCCTCCCTGATGGGGACCGCGCCGCATCATCGATGCATCGCTGATGCATCGGCGACGCTGGGGCGATGCATCGGCGACGTCGGCGTGGACGAACAGTGGGCTCACATCGAACCACATCGCTCGGCGATGCTTCTGCGCCGTTGTTTCTGCGGTCCCCGGGGCCGAGACGCGGCCTCGAGAGGACCCGAAGGACAGTCGACAGCCGTGGCGATCTTCGTTCGCCGCAGGAGAAGTCCCGGCATCTGTGCTTGGCCCTTGGAGCTGGTCCCTGGTTTTGACTGAGATTCTAGCAGGCTTGTTCGCATGGAGGGGGGGGAGGGGAAGAAGGGGCTCCCCGGCGATCCCCTGAAGGAAAGCTGGAGATCGGCGAAAAGCGGGGGGGAGGGGAAAACGGGGCGGGGTTAATACCATGGTGAGCGTTTTTTCTACTCGGCGTTTAGACATTGGGCGGAAAGGGGGGGGAGGGGGGGGTCTGGCTCCGGACCTCTGATTGGTGCGACTGTTTGGAACCGTGCGTCCTGCGGGGTAGGGGCTCCACCTGCTCGAAGCAGGCGCCCCAAAACAGCCAAGATCTACTCCATGGGGTGGGAGGGGGGGGGGGCGGGAGGGTGCGAGGGCCCGCGACGATCGGCAAAACAACGAATAGAACAACGACCACATGATGTCTCCTTTCCTGTTCCTTCCCGCCTGCCAGCCCGTCTGCTTCGTCCCGCCGGCCCTGGCCTCCCGTCTGCGCGTTCCTTGCCGCCGTCTGCTTGTTTCTTGCTCCCTTTCTCCCTCCCCGTTGCCGCGCAGCACAAACTGGCTGGGGACGGCGGCGCTGCAGTTCGCCCGACGACGCCGACGAGGTCCGACGACGACGACGAGGGCCGACGACGACAACGAGGGCCGACGACGAGGGCCGACGACGACGACGACGACGACGACGAGGACGGCGGCGGCGGCGGCGGGCGGCGGGAGGCGGCGGGCGACGGTGGCGACGACGACGACGCGCCGCCCCCTGGAGAGGAATCGGCCATCTTCGCGCCCCCGTTGGCCGCGGGCGGTCCGCCTTCGGGCCCCCAGGGGCTCCCGGATGGCCTCCGTCGCCACGGCCAGGTCCGCCTCGAAGGGGAGGCGCTCCCAGAGAGGACCGCCCGCGGCCCACGGGGGCGCGAAGATGGCCGATTCCTCTCCAGGGGGCGGCGCGTCGTCGTCGTCGCCACCGTCGCCCGCCGCCTCCCGCCGCCCGCCGCCGCCGCCGCCGTCCTCGTCGTCGTCGTCGTCGTCGTCGGCCCTCGTCGTCGGCCCTCGTTGTCGTCGTCGGCCCTCGTCGTCGTCGTCGGACCTCGTCGGCGTCGTCGTTGTCGTCGTCGGCCCTCGTCGTCGTCGTCGTCGTCGTCGTCGTCGTCGTCGTCGTCGTCGTCGTCGTCGTCGTCGTCGTCGTCGTCCTTCCATCTTGCAGAATCTGGACCGCGCCTCGATTGAGACGCAGGGGTGTCTCTAAAAGACCCGCTCCCCCTCTCCCATCCCCCCACTCCCGTGGAACAGAAAGCACAATGACACCACCCCACCTGGGGTCCCACGGGCCGCAGCGTGTACCAGGGAATCTGGCGTGGGCTTTTGCGCGGTGTGCGCTACGGCGCCCGATGGGCCGTAGCGAAACATGGAGGGCCGTACTCCGCGGGAGGGCGTCACCCCCGCCGACAACCCCACATCGACCCCCGTCGCGTCGCGGGCAGCCACTGCGCGCCGAAGGCGCTCCGACCCCCGTCGCGGCGCGACGACGAGGCGAGGCTGACCCCCGTCGGGCGGGTACCCCCCCACGCTTATCAAGCAACTCGGAGTGGGTGGGGTGGTGTCGTTTGTTGGTCGACTCTGCGCGTGGCCGAGAGCGGGCGGGGGAGCCGCGGGCGGAGGCGACGCCTGCGGCCGCCCCCCAACTGTCGGTCGAGGCGCACGGGCGCGGCGGCCGGCCCGGGCAGCCCACGCGGCACGGCGCGCAGGGACACGCCGCGGGCCACCGTGAGCAGCAGCGCTGCGGCTGCGATCAGCGGCAGCCTGCGGGCGACGGCGAGCGGACGACGGCGAGCGAATGATGAGCGGACGACCGCGGCGAACGACGGACGACGACGGCGGGCGACGGCATACGAAAGCAACCACGCGCAGCCCCAGCCAGCCCAACGCGGCGAGCAGAAGTCGGGCGGCGCCCAGTAGAACCTGCTGTGTGTGTGGATGTGTGCGTGTGCGTGTGCGTGTGCGTGTGCGTGTGCGTGTGCGTGTGCGTGTGCGTGTGCGTGTGCGTGTGCGTGTGCGTGTGCGTGTGCGTGTGCGCGTGTGCGTGTGCGTGTGCGTGTGCGTGTGCGTGTGCGTGTGGTGTGCGTGCGTGCGTGCGTGCGTGCGTGTGTGTGTGTGTGTGTGTGTGTGTGTGTGTGTGTGTGTGTGTGTGTGTGTGTGTGTGTGTGTGTGTGTGTGTGTGTGTGTGTGTGTGTGCGTGCCACCCGTGTGGCGCTCCCTGGGTTGCGCGATCCATGCGTTGCGCCATGCAGAAGTTACGCCATTGGTTGTGCCACCCAAAAGCTGCGCCACAGGCGGCGCGATCCATGGGTTGCGCCGTGCTCCACTCATGGGTTGTGCCACAAGTTGCGCACCCGGTGGCCAGAAATAAAGCGGATTGCCATTGGTTGCGCCATGACTACCTTTCGAACTCGGCGGCTCGTATTACACATGCCAGCTACTGATTGCGCCATGGGTTAGGCTCCGCGGCCCAGAAAGGAGGCGGCCCAGCCAAGGGCGGACTCCGCGGCCCAGCGGCCCAGAATGGACGAGGCCAAGGGGGCCCAAGGGGGAGGACGAACGACAACGAATGGAAAAGGCTCCGCGGCAAGTGATGGGGGCGGGTTCCGCGGCTCAGCCCAAAACGGATGGGCCAGGAAGGCCCGGGGGGGAGGACGAACGACGACGAAAATAAATGACTCCGCCAGTCGGGAAGGGGGGCGGGGGAGGGGCGGAGCCAATGGGGGCTCCGCGGCCCAGGAGTGGGGCGGCCCAGCCGCGGGCGTCCGGCCCAGCGGCCGCGAAGGGATGCCCAGGGGGGACGACGAACGACAGCAATTATGAAGGGCACCGCGGCCCATTGGGGGCCCCGCGGCCCAGAAGGAGAACGGACGAAACCAGGGGGGCCCAGGGGGGAGGACGAACGACAACGATATACATGTTTCCGCCGGCCCAGAATCCCCACTGATGAGAACCGTTTAACCGACCCCTACCTCCCCATGGGCGTGGCCTGGGCCCCACTGGCCGATTTCCCCTCCCTACATGGGGACATGGGCTGTTTCCTTGGGCCTTCGAGTCGTCTACCCCCAACGGGGGTGCTGAGGTGATGGGGGTCTGGATGGGGATGGGGATGGGGATAGGGGTCGGTTAAACGATACTGAACTAGAGGCAACTCGAGTTCGCCTCCCTCCTCGGAGGTGGTCGCCTCCCCGTCGGACCGCGCCGCTCTCTCCGAGGAGGCGTGGCAGGACGTCGCGCAGTCGGTCCCCGGAGCAAGCTCCTCGTCGCCCTCGGGTTCCACGCCGTGGATCTCCGTGAACGCTCGCTCCGCCTACGCGAGCCGAGAGAAGGATGCCCGCATAGCTGCGATCCCCCTCGTCCGGCCTCCATCGAGCGTGCCCCACAGCAGTGATGGCGCCAAAGGTGTGGAGCTCGGGCCGCACAGGCCCGTCCGGCAAACGCTGGACGCTGGCCATTGGCGGACGCGGCCGCGCCGACGCAGCAGAGGCTCTCCCCGCGGGCACGCCCGCGGTCGAGAGTGGGCCCCCGTGGGGCCGTGCGGAGGTTTACGCCCCCGTCTGCGAGTCAGGGCCGGCAGAGCAGGCCATCGCGCGCGACCCCCCCGGCCGCCCCGCAGGCCGCAGTGCCGGAGGCGCGGCGGTCCGGGGAAGCAAGGCGCCCGCGCAAAGCCCACCTTGGGATGCGATACCCCCACCAGAGGCCCTCTGCGCAGACGCCGCGCAGACACCCGCCGCAGCAGCAAGCCAACGCGGTCGCCAACCAGAGGACGAGGCCCACCACGAGCCCGAGGCAGACAGCGAAGGCCCCCGCAAGAGTCGAGACGGCGGGGCACGTATGCCCCCCCCCCACTAGCCCCGAAGTCCCACGAGAGAGGAGAAAGCAGTGGGGGCGGGGGTGCCCTCATGCTACTCGAAGATGGCAAGCTTGAGACCCCCCGCCACCGCGCAGCCGGCGGCCCCCAAAGCGCGCGCCGCGATTGGGTGCAGAGGCATGCCGCGACCCACGGTGCGGCGCACCCGTGGGTCGAGACGCTGCAGCCGCTTGCGGCGCAGCAGCGATGGGGGGGCATGGAGAGTCGAACGAGGATGAGTGAGGAGGGTGGCAGGATGAGATGGAGCCTGCCTCGAAGGGAAACTACGCGGCCATGCATGCTGGCGTTGAAACTGCAGGAACATACCCGGTCCCCACATGGGGGATCCTCGTAGCGAGTCGTCCTCGGCCGAGGAGGCGATCTCGGACGGTCGCCCCCCCCCCCCCCCTTTGGTCTGGAGATCCCTGTGGGGTGCAGGTCGTTGGCATATGAAAGTGCGCGATGCGGAGATAGGAAGGAGGATGCAGGAGGACGAGGATTGGCTCCATGGAGCTAGAAGGGATTCGAGGGGTGGTCAACTGACGTTAGTGGACTCTTCGTCTTTCCTGAGGCTCGTTGCGTTGTTTGCCTCTCTTCCTTTCTGTTACCGTTGCTTCGTTCTTGCCTGGCTTCTTTGAGATTTTGGCTGCTGCACTGATTCCCCGATGGCCTGCCACACGCGCTGGGATGAAAAGGGAATATCCGCTTGGCACGGACGGAAACAGTGGGGACGACGCATAACAGCGAATGCTGTCCGAAAGCGACAGCGGCTGCTGATGGGCAGGCGACGTTTGTCTCAGACGGGCAACGCCGACGGCCAAACGGACAGCGCAAGCTTTTCAAAATGGGCAAGGACTGCTGGCAATCATCGCCCCCGCGCAATGATTGTTTCATCGGCCAAACGCAACGCAGAAATGTCCGCTGCTGCAGTCAAGGCCTCTTTCAAAGCCTGGGCAACCGGTTGCGTTTGGAGATGTGCGGTGACTGCTGTCTGCGCCCTTCCGCCTGCGCACGCATGGCCCTGCAAGTGCGGTCGACGTCGCTGTAGCCTGGCGGGCGTAATTCGCACTTCCCGCCAGATGATTCGTAGGACTGTCAATCTGCTCCTTGCCAGTTTTCTTGACTGTCCAATTCCATGGCGCTGATTTCATCCCGTTGGGTCTGAACCATCTGCTTGGCCTCGAACCTTTCGGATCGCGTCCCGCGATGCCTGATAGAGATCGTCTCTTCGGCCCTGGCGGGGGGCATTTCGACAGGTCGGGCGGTCTGCTCGGCTTCGTGTTTGCCGTGCGCGGAGGCATCCCGCTCTAGTGCGCACCACTGCTGATCAATCATGCGTTTCGCCTCGCGATGGCCTATCGGATTCAGCCTGGGTGTTTCTGGCCTCTGTCTGCATCCTGCCTTCGGCAACCCCTTGCCGCGCCCCCAATCGAGCCTTCTCTGCCTCCTCGGCGTGAGATGCTTCCATGGCTCTCTTCCAAGTTCAGAAATGCGGTGAGGGTCTCGCTATGCTGGGATACCTGCCACCCCGAGTTGCGTAATGCCATGCAGTTGCGGTGGACCGGTGGAGCACATCAGCTGCATAGGAAATCGACGCTGCATCCTCGACAGGTGCGTGGCCCCTCCCAGCACGGTGCACGAGGGCTTGGCAAAGCGTTTGGCTGGTCTGGGCATCGACATTTTGCGGTGTTACTGCATCGGGACGCGAGCTCGGCTTTCTGAACAGAGATCATGCTGGCATACGGACTGCTCGATCTAACGGACCCACTGGGCCTTGGCCTGATATGCCTCGCCTCCTACCGATCACGTCAGTGTTCGAGACGATAAGGCCTTTGCCGAGCTCTTTCGCGAGGTGCTTCACCAACCCCTCTTTTGCCACAGCTTCCTGGCAGTGGTAGTCGAAGCATCTTTCTCGGCCTCTCTGTCGTGTTCTGGCTGAGCGAATCTTTCCCTATGAGGGGTCGGCGTATGATCGTCCTCGAACTTTGGCGACAGAGTTCAACGAATTCGGGAAACAAGATCGGAGGGACTTCTGAAGAGTCTCTTTGTGGATCTTTGCTGTTCCCATGGGCTCTCCCGCACTCGATGGGATCTTAACGCGTTGAGAATCTGGACCATCGCCTTCAAGCAATACGTGACGGCAGTGGCCAGCAGCCTGCCGATCGATCTCTGAGTCATCATCGTCTTCCGCGTCGAGTGGGGCTTCCTAGCCGTCGCCCATGTCGGCTTGGACTTTGCCGCCTGTCCCGTCTTCTTGTTGAATTCAGCCCACGCATGGATTTGAGTAGCCAACTTTTGCCGGGCCTTCCTCATCAGTCCCATGCGCGATGACATGTGCCCCTGGGTTCGCCCACGAATCATCTGGACGCACGATCGCATAGACTTGCTCTGCTTTTGGACCGTCTGGGTCGTGGTCCTATTATTGCTCGGCTGTCCTGGCGTCGATCGGAAGATTGTCGATCCCTGTGGCCCGTGATCACGCCATCACGGAGACCCTCCCTCACTGCTAGGCATCGAGCCCAAATCGCCGCTTTCTTTCTCGGGAGTAGAGCTCTGTCAGCACGTGACGACACTCGTTACTCGAAGAGTAATGTTTGCGAGGTCTTTCAAGCTCTCGTCTGACATTGCACTCGCACTGCCAGCCACACTGCAGTTGTCATGTGGCTCAACGTGAGAGAATAAGTTGGTTTCCCTTCGGATCCCTCCAAGCTTTCGGCTGATCACCTACTTGTGATCTGATGATCTACGTTATATGAATAACAGTTTGACCCATGTGGTGTACCTTCTCCATACTCCCGTAGCTCCGTGGGTCCCTTCAAGAGGACATTGTGCACGCTATGTCCTTTCGTGCTGGTCGACGACATGGCGGCGATGTTTGCATGCATGCGCGGACACACCCTGTTCCAACCACACGGGCGCAAGGCGCGCTCCCAAGTCAAGTTCGCCTACCACCTCCTTTGAAGTGTAAAAAGATCGCCAAACGCCCACAACGCCGGATGGGTGGGTGATAAGATGACAAAGGCAGGAGTTCACGTTGTCGCTTGTTCTCCACGATTCATCCCTGCTGAACCTGAGCAGTCCAGCGCGCCCGAATACTCATGCAGCGGCGTTATGCACTACCCGTTTGAAAGAATTCACCATTCAGCCGAAAAATCTCGACAAATGATCCTTCCGCCTTGGATGCTGCAGGTTATTGGTGCCTGAAGGCTCTCTTGACGGGTGGCAGAATCTGTACCTATTTTGATGGGTGGAACGGTTGGGGCCCTGCACGAGAGCGACAAAATATCGCGTCCCGCTGCAAATTCCACATCGCTTCATTCATCTCTCCTCCTTGATTGTCCTTGTGCTCCTCGTAGCGAAGATGATGAGGGGGACATGGGATACTACGTTTCGCCTACGTTAACGCCAAGTGAGCCCAGTGCAAAAGAGAAAGAACACTGCTGCGCATTCCCCTCCTCCTCCTCCTCCTCGTCACGCCCTTTACCCGGCTTCTTACCATTATCCACTAACTCCTCCTCCGCCTCCTACCTCTTCGCCTGCTCCTCATCCTTCTCGCCATTCCCAAACATATCCCCAAGAGCGCCTGCAATGGAGTGTCATCTACCCTGGCGGCGCAACATCGAAGGTATGGTAAACACGTAATGAGCAGCAACTGCTAAATGAAAGCGGCCAAGTGGATCTCGAGCCACACGAGCAATATTGAGTGCGACCGCGGATGAATGCGTCTGATTTTTGGAACCAGAGACGGCTCTCTCCTGGTTCCCCCCTTCTCTCCACAGTACATGTACATCCTCCCCTAGATGCTCCTCCTCTCCCAACTTCTCCACTTCATCATCCCGCCCCCTCCCATGCGCCACTCCTTCTCCTCCTCCTCCTCCTCCTCCTTTTCCTCCTCATCCGCACCACACGTCCTCCTCTCCTCCTCACACCTCAAATCCCCATTCATATATGCCCCCGGGAAGATGCTGGAAAGTGTGACCAGTATGTCGCACATTTGTTGGCAAAGTGCGTGTGTGTGTGCAATTATAACCGAAGGCTGCCTTCGAGGCCTCCAAAATCGCCCCAAACGGCTTCATCAGCACCCCTGAGGGTCCCGAGACTGCCCCGAAGGGCTTTCTAACGGCGCAAGAAGCCCCCAAGACGGTCCCAAGAGGCACCATACGGCCCCAGAAACCTCCAAGATGGCCCTGAAGGGCCCACATAATAAGGCCCCAAGACGGCTCTGGCCCTGGCCCCAGTCCCGGCCCCAGCCCCGGTCCCAGTCCCGACCCCGGCCCCCTGGCCCCAGCCCGAGCACCGGCCCTCAGAGTCGAGCAAAACCGCTATGTGCAGGGCACCAGGAAGTTCCCCCAAACGAAAACCGACCAGAATGGAGGGGGGGGAGGGCCGGCGGGAGGAGCGCCAGTGATGGATCTGTCCCTCGCGCCCCTCCCCCCGACTCTCCGCGCCCACTCCCTCGAAAGAGGGGGGCGATGGGGCGGAAGGAGGAGAGGGGTGTATACAGTCGAGCCGCTGAAATAAGTAACGAAGCCCCCCTTTCGGCCCCAAAAGCGCCAGCGTGCACGAGGAGGACTAGAGGAACAACCACATAATGACCTAAGGAACATCGAGCCCCTTTCGTACTCAAACTGTTCCTTCTTTCGGCGTCTTGGCTTTAAAGGGGAGCGGACAACAGGAGGGGAAGCCGGGGGGGAGGGAGAAAGAGGGAGGAGGGCGGAGGAAACTACCCAGAAATCTGACATGTTTTTACAATCCGGGGTCTTTCTTGGATTTCGGCATCCGGGCTGGCGGGCCATCAACAAATATTCTGGTCGACAAAACATCCCGGGTGAAGGAATCGGGACCTCTGGGGCCGCGGATTGAAGAAACCGTGACGGCGGATGTCTGGGTAGAGAGAGAGGGAGAGAGAAAAAGAGAGAGAGAGAGAGAGAGAGCTCAGCAGGGGTAAAAGGAGAAGCAGGGAAGAACGGGGGGAAGAACGGGGAAGAAGAGAGGAGGGAGAGTGAGCGAGTAGAGGGGTTTCCCGCGGCCACCCCCCTGGCCAATCCTGTCCTGGGTAGTTCCTTCGTCGAACCGACCCCATGATTCTGACCGACAGATCCTCAATGTGCTGCAAGCAATACAGCACGCGGGCAAGTACGCGTGAGATGAGGCGTGCGCACTGTGGACGAAGATGAAGCCCTCCTCTGAGCAAACGCAAGCACACACACAGACAAACAAAAACAACTGACACCCATGCTACCGCCCACCACACTCCTTTGTCCCACCATGATCATGATCCGCCACCGTGCCTGCGAGGCACGATTTGGAGTGTCCTCAGGTCCTTGCTCAATCGGCATATTGGGGCCTCTTCGCGGCATTTTGGGGACCTCTTGAGGCCTCCTTGGGGCCAAAGGCTCGAAATGTCCGTTCGGATCCTCCGTCGGGGCCCTCTCGGAGCCGTCAACTTGGGCCGGTTGGGAGCGCTCTTGGGCCGTAGTGGGGCCCTCTTGGAGGCCTCTTGGGCCGACCTTGGAGGCCTCTTGGGCCGTCGTGGGGCGTCCAGAATCCGAGAAAGGCGAGAGCGCCACAATCCTTGAAACACCTGCGGGCAATCAATGTATGTTTGCCTCTTGGGGTCCTCCTGGGAGGCCCCTTGGAGGCCCCTTCGGGCGTCTTGGGGGCATCTTGGACCGTCTTGAGGCCATCTTGGGCGTCTTGGAACGATCTGTCGGCGACTGGGGGGCAGTCCGCAATAGTGAGGATCGTGTACGGGACCATAGCTCCAAATTCTCAGGATCTCCCGGGGTCTCGCGCTGTCTACCGGCATGACGTGTTCGGACCCGAAGAAGCGCGAATCAGCCACGCCCGGAGGGGTTGGTGGGCGGGGGGTTGGTGGGCCGGGTTAGAAGGCGCGGGCCTGATTTCTGGATGTGAGGCTGCGCCTTCTAAGAAGCAGTCTCCTTCAAAGAAGCCCTCCCCGCTCCCTCCGCCCCCCTGTGCGCGCCGCCAAATAAAGACGGGCCAGGAGGCTTCCGACCCACGACCGAGGGCGCGGTGGCGGGCTGTGCCGAAGGCCGCTAGATCCGCCGCCCCCCGTCGATTCATCGCAGGGGTGCCTGGCATGCTGGATCCTTTCGGTTTTGGCTTTGGCTCTTTTCCAAAAGAACTCCCCCTGGGGCTCCGGCGCGTCCCGCCGCGGTCCCGGAAGGATTGCCCAGGATCTTCCAGAGCCGGTTGCAACGGGTTTTCCTGCCCCAGACGGCTCCAAGATGGCCTCCAAGATGCTTCCAAGACGGCCAAGATGGCCTCCAAGACGGCTAAGATGGCCCCAAGATGCCTCCAAGACTGCCCAAGATGTACCCAAGATGGCGTAAGATGGCCTCAAGATGGCCCAAGACGGATAGAGAGGTCTCAATACGGCCCAAGAGGTCTCCAAGAGGTCTTCTAGGAGGGCTCGAAAAGGCCAAAATCATTGGCTTTCCTTAGGTTTTTGAAAGATTTTGGCATTTGCCTCTTCTCGGCATTCCGACGGCGCAAGACGGCCCAAGAGGCCGCCAAGATCGCCCCAAGATCGCCCACGAGGCCTCCAAGAGGGCCCCATGACGGCCCAAAAGGCCCCCAAGACGGCCCCAAGAGGGCCCCAAGACGGGCCAAGAGGCCTCCAAGACGCCCAAGATGGCCTCCAAGACAGCCCTGGAGCATTCCAAGACGGCCCCAAGTCGGCCAAGAGAGGCCCCCAAGACAGCTCCCGACGGCGTCAGACGGGCCAGGAACCCACCAAGGCCCGGTCGCGTGGTGAGTCGCGGGGTAGGTCGCGGGGTGGGTCGCGGGGGTGGGTCGCGGGGGGGGGGTCGCCGGGACGACGACGACAACAAACAACAACAACAACAACAACAACGACAACAACAACAATCACTTTACCCGAACGCTCAGTGTTCTCACCAGTGCCAGGGTTTTCATGCGACGCCAGCCAATACCCCCACTTTGTGGGGGGGCAGTGCAAGCTCTACCAAATATCCACACGACTCTTCGCCACCACCCACACCCAGCTTCCCGCCCTATGACGTTCGGACACTTCACTTCGTGGCCTGCGGACGACCGTGGCTACTACACTGGCGTGGAGTACACACCCACAGAAGTTGTTAAGCCTACGTTCGTACACCCACAGAAGTTGTTAAGCCTTGTTAACCCACAGAAGTTGTTAAGCCTTCCACAGAACATCTGTTGCATATGATGCATATGGTACATGATACACATGATACACATGATACGTACTCACAAGATAGTTGATCACATCTTTAGGGCAAATTCCTGAGGGATGTGGGAATACACAAGAGAGAGAGGATATGGTTGTCCCGATGGTTGTCTCGATGGTTGTCCCGATGGTTGTCCTGATGGTTGTGGTTGTCCCGATCGTTGTCCCGATGATTGTCCCGATGGTTGTCCTGATGGTTGTGCTTGTCCCGATCGTTGTCCCGATGACTGTCCCGATGATTGTCCCGATGGTTGTCCCGATGGTTGTTCCGATGGTTGTCCCGATGGTTGTCCCGATGGTTGTGAGCGATGCCGGATCCTCACGCCCCCCGCCGGAGGAGGAGGAGGAGGAGGAGCAGGACAAGGAGGAAAGGAGAGAAGAGAGAGGAGGGGCGGGAACGGCGCTTGGAAGCATCTTGGGGCCTCTTGGGGGCTTATTGGGTCCTCACGGCGGGCTCTTGGGGCCTCTTGAAGGCCTCCTGGGGCAACCTATGGCGCAACCAGTAGGGGGACGTTTTATTCTCGGCGGCCGAGGGCGCAACCTATGGCGCAACCAATAGGGGGGCGTTTTATTCTCGGCGGCCGAGGGCGCAACATATGGCGCAACCGCAAGGGATTCTGGCCCCTGGCAGGCGCGCGAACCCCGTTGCAAGAGCGTGCGAAAGTAGCTCGCGCGAGCTCATGTAACATAAATGTTGGAAAACCATTGGTTTTTTTAGGATTCGGACAGCGCGCGCGGGTGGAAATTTTGAAAAGTCGTGCAGGTGTTTTTCGAGGACCTACGGTGCGATTCGTGTGATTTTATGATGCGCGGTGCTAAAATTCTTAAGAAACCCAATGGTTTTTGGAGATTTCGGCGTGCGCGCGCGAAGAAAAAACGAATGTGTCCCGCATGGTATTATTTGACAGGGATGATGGCCCTGGCAGGTGCGCAACCGTTGTCGCAGAAGTTCGAAAAAGTTGCTCGCAAAAGCCCGTTTGACAGAAATGTTTAAAAAGTGTTGGGTTTCCTACGAATCCGCAAGAGCGCGCGGGATGAGATTTTGACATTTTTTTGTTGAAAAACCATTGGTTTTTTGATGTTTTTATGTTAAAATCGCTCCGAACACTAAGCTTTTGGAAGGATTTCGTCTTGCGCGCGCGAATGTCCACTTTACCTTATTTTTTGCAAGGGATTCTTGAAATTTGATTATATTAGAACAAGAAATGTCATTTTATAGTGTTTTTTGCAAGGGAAAACGGATTACAACAAAACAACCGGATCTTGATGACATCGTATTACCTGAGGCTTCCTCACGAAAATGATGAAAATGTAGCTGCGGCCTAGGCGGCGCAGGGGGGCCGTGCACCAGGGGTCCCAACAA